AGCTGCTCCAAGGCTTGAGCCCGGACTGTCATTTAGAGGAACATGAATAGGAAGCATTTTTTCTGCAGAACAGTGAGTGTTTTGGGCTTGGGGGAAGAAGGGCTGTGTTTAAATGTATCGAGCATAAAATGAAATGTTAACCACTTGAGTTTAATAAATCTTCAGCAATGATCTGTTTGAACCTGCTAAGAGCCCTGAGGACAGCACGCTGCTATCTCACACGCCGCTGGCCTTTTCCTTTCCTCTGTGTGTGTGTGTGTGTGGAAAGCGTGGAAACAAGGAACAAATGAGCTTGCATAGGAGATGTGGTGAAAAATGAGTACCAGGAGGAAGGTGGTTTTGTGCTAAGAAAGGTAGGAAGATTTCCAAATGGCCAAAGCGTTCAGGGTAAATTTGGAGGCTGGGTATTTCATTTGTGGAAGTGCCCTACATTTCAGTCCCGAAAACACTCGCGTTTCGCAGAAAAACTTTCTCAGATATTATTGTTGAGCAAGCTGTTAGTATGAGATATGTCTAAAATTCCTGATTGTAGAGGTAGTTATGATCTCTAGCAGGGGTACACTCACATTTTACTCTGCCTTGAGAGGGATAGATTTAAAGTAACTTCTTTTTGTGGTCTCTCTCATCTGCTGCATTGCATGTTTTGGCCTTGTAGGGTTGGGAGAGATCCCGTTCCATTCCTCAGAAGGTGTTTGGTATTGTTTCATCAGTCTGTTACCCTCTCCTGGCCTACCCTCCCAAGCTCGTCTTTCTCCGAAAGTAAAGGATGGGGGAAAAGGTCAGGTGCATGTATAATCCTCATGCCTGGCTCCTGCATAACCCTTGTCTGAAACAAAGCAGGCTGTGTTCTGGCATTCTTTCTGCAGCACATGCACAGTGATGCAGTCTTGGGGACTTTTTGCCTTGCCATATCACTAAATCTGATTTTAGATTTGTCATGGGATTTGTATTTACCTCTGGTTGCTCGATCTCTCTTCTTTAGATTATAGCCCTTTCCACAGCCCTCTCTTAATACCAATTTGATCTCCTTTTTTGCTTTGAATTCATCAGTTCATCTAGTAACTGCTATGGGCTTCTCTCTCTTCTCTCTCTTTAGTAGGGTGGGGGATTTTTTCCCCTAAAATCCTTTGATTCTATGTGACAAACGGGAGCACGTTTCCTTTCTAGTAGAGATTAAAGACACCCAGTGATTACATCTCGAGTAGAGGGTGAGGGAATGTCTGTCTCACTGCCTTCACCACCTTCACCAGACAGAGTGCCAGCTGCTTTGGGTGTACAGAGGGATTTTCAGCAGTAACATAGTGCAATGTGCCTCCTCGTGGACTGTGAGTCTGAGATGCACAAATCGTGCATTCATTCTTCCTCTTGCTGGCTTGTCTGCACCCTGGGTTTATGGCTCTGATGTAGGGTAGATGTATCTGACATGGCTCAGAGCTTATCTGCTCTAGTACTGACTCCTGCATGTGGCAGCGTGGAGCATCTTGCTAGCTGAGAAATCAACTGCACAACTGAGGTAGATAGATCTGTAATTAGCCAATGGGACAGTGTCTAAAAACACAGAAAAAATCTTATTTCTCTTTCCCAGTGCTGTTTAGAGGGATTTAAAACCAGGTAAGAGAAAATGCCTGCACATGAGTGTTGAGGAAAACTTTCCTTAAAAAGGTAAAAACACATGAATTAATTGCAACTATTGATGTTGCTGTTTGTAAGTATTAGGCATTGATGTTTCTCCTTCTCTCTGTCTCCCCCACAGAAGGGGGTTTGTTTTGTTTTGTTTCGTTTTGTTTATTTTTAGGGGGAAAAAAATCTAAAAGAACACGTCTGGAGAATTGTAGCCTAAAATCAGATGCTGTGGAACTGGTATTGAAAGGGTGAAGGTGGTGGCTGGACTCGATGATCTTGGAGATCTTTTCCAACCTTAGGGATTCTGTGACCTCTGCAGTGACTGCTGCCCTCCCTGCTGTCCGAGGGTGGTGTCCTCTGGCCTCTGTCTCTGCTGTTTCTCAAGATGGTTTGTGCTGCCCTGTGTCAACTTCTGTGCAGAGGAATGTGATGATTACACTTGACTCGGGACACGCTGTTGGAGAAGTTTTTCTTATGAGTACAGAATATGTTTAAAGCATTATTATTTTGATTATGATCCTCAAAAACAATAGTCTAGACAAAGCATAAACTCTGGATCTAAAAATATATTTAAAAATTAGCTAGTCTGCTCACAACCCATTTCTTACCTCACCCAGCAGCTATTTATGAAAACATTTTCTATTCTTTCTAATTTTAAATAGCAAGCACTAGCAGTTGAATACTCATTTATTAGATGCTTATCCCCTCCGGTTTTTTTGCACATCTTGTTGCTGTCAAGTATCTTTGTACCCAGCCAAAAATGACATGTTGAAACAAGTAGTGTATATTTAATGCAGTGTATTGGAAAAAAAAAAAAAGACTGATATTTAGTCCCAGCTTTTATTTTTTCATTGGAAATACCATGAAGTACAGTAGCTGGACTGAGAAGTGAATGTGCTCATGAAGAGGGAGTTGGGTTTTAAGTAAACTTATTAATGCCTGGCTTAGTCACAGGCTTTTTTCCTGCTTGTTATTGACGTAGTTGCCTGTCAGTCTCATCTGATAGTAGAATTGCTGGGCGCAGAGTGCCTGGGATCGTGTGGCAAAAACTGCTCACTGTTGACTTGTGTGCATGTGTGCTGCTGCTCTGTGCTGAATTAAATGTCAGATGTGCTCAGGAGTGTGGGTGGGTGGGGGAGATGTGATTTGGTTCTCCCTGGTTGCCTTGTCAAGAAGAGCACTAATACAGCTAATGGAGATCCTCCAGCTCGAGAGGAGAAGGGCATTCCATTGACAGCCACCATTCAAACAGTCACAAAAGATAGCTTCAGACAGCAGTGGAGGCTGTTGGGATTGAAAAGAAACTTTTTCAAAGGCAAGGAATAATAAAGGATATTTTGAAATTGCAGCTTGCAGTTTGCAGGCTCCTTTTTTTGCCTGACTTAGCAAAATGGTTATAAAACAAATGAAAGCGGGGTTATACCTGTGGAATTTCTAACCTTTGAAGACACTGTGTTTAAGTACTGAATTTATTCTGAGATAGTTTTCAGTAGAAAATAAGTTTGCATTCTTCACCTCTACTAAAAGAAAAGTTTCTGTTTTCACTACAGTAGTTTTCACAGCACTGGTGTCTCTGGGGTTACCTGTGGTCATTGTACAGCCGAGCTCACATGGTCCTCTGGTAAATACAGAATTAGCTTTGTGAATGAAAGTATCAGATGGCCACAAAAATGTAAGACCGAGGAGTCTTAAGTAAATACCAGAACCATCAGCCCTCAAATCATCAAGTCAAACATTGTATCACATTCTACTAGAGAAGAAAAACAGTTGGGTTAAGAGGAATGTTAATTCTGTGGTCAATACACTATGGTGTGGTCTCCAGTGTAGGTTCTTACTGGAGATGCTCATTCCTGGAGAAGGACAATGTAACCATCAAAAATGCAGCTGCTTGGGACATTTGGTTTGGCTTTTTGCTGAACATATTGATTGTGATTGTGGGAGGGAATTTGGCAGGGTTTTATAATATACATTTATATTATTGAATTTTTAACTGAGGAAGAGCATTCTTTGTCTCAGCTAGTGGCTTTTTAGTGAACCAGGTGAGCCTTTCATCCTTCAGGCATGATTGGTTTTGTTCGCCTTTTTAATTTCTACCAGGTGAATAACTAACATTGTCAATCAGCATACTGTTTTATAACACTTCTAAGTTTTTTATCTCTCTTAAGAAGTTTCTTATGTTCAAGTTTCTGGGTGAGTTTAGTTCTGACTCCCTCCACAATCCTTATAAACAGATGTTCTTGCCATCCATTTTTGTATTTAAGAATTTGTGAAACAACATTGCTTCCACTGACCTGGTGTCATTATTACAAAGAACTTAGTGGATTGTGTGATGCAAGTAAAATAAATCAGGTGCTGCAGTGACCTAGATACTCATTATTTATTTATGGAAATAAATACATTTAGAATTTACTCATACTGTTTCTTCTATTGCAAATGCTGTAAACATTCACTTACTCAGAACTCTGCTGGGAAAATAGCATTATTGCCACCATTCTGCACATTAGGAGACCTTGCCAGGAAGACTTCAGTAACTGCTCTAGGCTATGTAATGTATAATTATCAGAACTAAGATTGGATGTTGGGAGTCTTGACTCCCAGTGTTGTGCTAAGACATACCTCACCTGGCAGATAAAATCTGTGGATAGCAAAGACTGAGGGATGCTAAGGACAGGGTGATCACACAGACCAATTTGGTCATAGATCACCTATGTGTATTAAGTGTTTTAAGTCTAGCCAAAAGCACGGGAGGAGACAGAACATGTTGGCCTGCCCTGGACAGCATCCTCAGTGTGGGGAGGTGTCACAGAGTGAAATGTTCCCATTGGAGCTTCCAGTGAGGAGATCTAGCAAAAAGGGGGGCTGAGTGAAGCAGTATTTGGCTGTGAAAATAGAGAAGTAATGGGTAGATTTGGCAGGGAGATTTTTTTTTCTCTTTGATCTTTACCATCAATATTTGGTCATGTGGCAGGTACCGGAAAGAGGCTACAGAAAGGATCTGAAGGCTACTTAGAAAACTGCAAGATGGAGCTGTTGGGAATATTTTCCTGTTGTCAGAACATTGAATTATTACTTTCTTCTAACTTGGCTTTTCACAGTTTGTGTGCTTTTGCTTGCTATTTTGCTGAAGAGTTTGGGCAGGTGGTGTTTCTTCAGGTCTGTGGGACTTGGCTCTCCATTGTGTCTTTGTACTTGTCTAAACTCTCAGTTGTGTTCTAGATTAATATTCACTACAACACTGCTCTCTTGCTCTTGATGTTCAGCTGGGAAAAGAGGAGAAGCAGTGCTGTCCTAAGGCAGAAAAAGCAAGGCAAGGTCTTGCCCTGGTGGTTCCAGTCTCTGTGCTCATCCCTAACTCCTCTTCCTCGTTGTTTTTCCAGGCAGGCTCTCGAGTTCCCCCTGAGACGCCGCTGCCCTCCACCGAGATGTCACGGCACCACAGCCGGTTTGAGAGAGATTACCGTGCGGGCTGGGAGCGCCGGGACTGGAGCTCCAACGGGACCCCCGTGGGCAGCACCAGCTGCAGCAGTGCCAGCACCACCAGCAGCTCCCGGCCCGGGCTGCTGCCCCTGCCCATCGTCCCCACGCGCCTCCCCGCCCCGGCCACCGCCGCCTGCACCACCGGCAACAGCGATGTCATCACCAGCCTGGTGGCCAACTCCTCCCCAGCTTCCAGTACCAAAGTAAGAATTCAGCTCTTCTTTATTTATTTGTTTGTTTGTTTGTTTGTTTATTTGTTTATTTATTTTATTTTTTTAAACGGGGTTGTTTTGTTGGAGGGATGTTAGAGATGGAGCGTCATCCGTCCCTTTGTATTGTAAGGCTTGCGTTCGTGGGATAGCCAAGAGTAGGAAAATGAATTCACATGGGCAGTCTGTGTCTCTTTAATTCTCTTCTGTGTTGTGCACACACCAGGGTAAGTCTTCTTTGCTCCAAGACCAAGTGTCCCCATGCTTTTGAGAGGCCCAGGCAGAGCAAATGTTTTCTTCCTTTCACCACTGCCTACGTTTGGGCTTTGTGGCTTTCCTTGGAACTTACTGCTTCCACTTTGCATTTGGGAATACCCTTCTTGTTTGTTGACCAAGGCAGAGCTGTGGTTGACAGCAAGTGGATCTGGTCCTCATCCAGAGGGAGTGGAAAGCGACTAAAGGTCATAATTTTGGATGAATGGGTTTTTTCTTTCTCTTTAGTTCATAGTTTCCTGTAAGATTCTCAAAGCTTCATTCTTAGTGCAGGTTGGAGTAAAACAGTGAACTGCTATAACCAGGCTTGCTCATTTGTGCAAAAATGCACACTAAGGAGTGAGACAATGTTAAGCACCAAGGAATGGAAGTCACTAGTAAACTATTGGGCTTTTTTGTTTTCCAGTATATAATTGGAGGGAAGAGGGTGAGTTTTCCTTTTAAAATAAATAGCCCTTGTCGAACTGCAAAATACATTTGATATTCTTGGAGAAAGTTGAGGTTTCTTTTTGCATACAGATTCAGGTAGAACAGCTGGGAACAGAAAAACCTGGCAAATGGTAAAGGTGACCACAGTGCTGGCAAAGTGAGATGGAAGCACTGCTGGGTTTCTTTTTATGATATTTAACATTTTCTTTCAACTTGGTTTCATTTTAATAACTGAAAGTGCCAAATACAGCAGATGCAGACAGAGGGAAAGGAGACAATGAAGTTATTTAAAGTAAGCCAAGAGCAAGCTGAAATTTTGCTGCAGTACCATTATTATATTGATTTTTTTCACACTGTAGAGAAACAAGGTCAATGCTACAGAAGGAAACCTTAGCCCAAAGTGTGGTTGTAAAAATTTGCCATGGCATCTTAAAATTATTTTCATTTGGAAGAAGCTACTCAGATTCTGATCAAAACATTTTTAGTGTTCTCCAGATGCTATCCACTGATAGATGCATTTCAATCATGTTTTGTCTGGAGATGATTGAAGCAATTTTGGAGCCAAAGCAGTGGTTTCATTTATCATGACCTTTGTTCCTGAGTCTACTTAGAGTCCAACAATTGTCTGGAGCTGATCAGCCCTTTTCCCAGATGTTCAAAACCATTTTGAAGCTTATCAGTGCTAGTAAACCATGTGTTTATTGGGGGAGAGGAGGCAGGAACAGCAAGTTAAGTGCCTTTTGATCATATGCTAGATGTGAACTGTCTTCTAAATTACCTTATTAGACAATTTTCTGATGACTTTCATTAGTAAGAATGTTTTGGCATGAATAGATCAAAAGCAATAAATAGACAAGAATGGAGGTAACAGGAGACACTTTTTATTTTGAGAACTGTTAATCAGCTGTGTAATCTCCCATAAAATAAATTTATAAAAATGCATAGAGTTTTTGCCCCATCTTCTTCTGCTGTGAATCAACGAAGCAACTCTAACTAAAAATTCAAAATTGTATGTATTATAGAGGAAAAAAACGTAAAGAGGTGAGAGAGATAAGTAGGTAGGTAGGTAGGGTAAACAGATGTAAGGGTTTGGTGCTTACCAGGCTTCCAGCTAATAATGTGAAGTGATATCACAAAAAACATCAGGTGCTCGTACACACTCCTGTTCACCCTGTCTGACTGTGTCTCTCCTTCACACACAGCACTTAGATTTGTGGTCAGCCAAGGCTTTTCCTTGGTAGAATCCAGCTAATGGCTAGGCATAAAAAATTGCATCCATATATTGAAGAGATCACAAGTTAGAAAAAAAAAAACAATGTAGAAATTTGGTTTCTTTTAGAAATAAAAACTAAAAATTAAACATCGAAAAATACTTCAAAAATAAGCCAAGTATGTGCTAAGTTACTTGAGCTATGGAGAGATCAGCCTGCCTACCTTTTGCAATCATTTTTGTCAGCATGTGGGAGATAGGTGACATCTAACAGCTGGATTTGTTAGTTCTGTTTTGGGAGGGAGGTATTTAATTGCTGAGCTGCCCTTCTGCAGGCTGGACCTCCCCTAGCATTATGGCAGGTCATTAAACTCAGTGGCAAGGGTGTGCCCCACACAAGAGGTGATAGAGTGAATAAGGTGTCATGAAGGAAGAAGACTGATATCCTGGTTCTCCTTGTCTTATTGTCCCAGGATATAAGTACAGCCATCAGTGCTGCCCGAGGCTGAGGTCAGAAGGGACTCTTTCTCCTGTCCAGTTACCAGTTTTGACTTGAGCATATTTTCTGGAGCTGGTTTGGCAATCTCAAACCATAGAGAACTACTAGCCCTTCAGACTGGATTCGTACTTACTAGTTATCTTCCCAGTTAAAAGTTTGCTTTGTTTCTTTGTAAATCAGTCTGTCCTCAGTCCTTTGGTCCTTGGTTCCTCTAGTTTCCTGCTATTGACCAATTTCAGTAGCCTCCAAATAACTCTGCATCTTTTGCATCCCCTCCGTTCTTCATTTCCCTTTGAAAATATGGGTGCTAAAACTTAGATACCCAAACCATATGCATCCTTTCAGCATCAGACTCACCATTCTCTTGCATGGGGATAAAACTGCTCCCTCCCTCTGTTTCCATGTCTGTATAGCAAATAATTGCTCCAGACTTCTTTTGCCAAAGTGCTGAATCGGTAGTTATTAAAAATTCATATACATGGCATCATCCTCAATTATGAGTTACCAAACAGCCACAGTATTGTCAAAGACTGAAGTGAAGTCTGTTTGACAAGGTCTCTTTTCTGGGTACCTGTATTGGCAGATGTAGGTCATATTCCCATCCTTCAGCTCAAGGTTAACTGAATCCTAATGTAACAAATTCAAAATGGAGGAAGAACTTCTTTTCTCTCTGACTTGTAACTGGACTGTATGACTTGCTGTGTGATGGAATTGTTCAGGGAATTTATAGATAAATTGTTTTAAGGACCACTAGTCTACCTAATCTGGCTGAAGTATGGTCTTTAAAATTATGTAAATGTATGTAAGATTAAAGATTTTGCCACGATTTACGTGATATGAATAGAAAAAGCATTGGACAGGAGAGAAAAAAATGAAGCCATCTTCAGGGGGAAGCTTAGGATATGTAAGACCAGCTGTGAGGGGGTTGGGTTTGGCCTATGATTTTCATGCTTCTGGAAGAGCTTTTTACTACTTTGTGTGGAGGACTTTAGAAGGTTTTTATTACTAATTATTAATGTGTAGGAGAACTTCAGAACTAATTATACTTTGCAGACCTTTGAAATTTATTCTCAAAGCGTACCTGTAACCTTCTTACCACAGATGCTTTGGTACAAATCACACTTAGTGGATCTGCCACCTTTAAGTGGTTATGGATGTTTGGTCTGAGTTATTTAAACAGAAAAGCTGTCCTTTCCCAAGCTTTATTTTTTTGCTGAATAAAATGACAATGAGACTTTGCACTGCTATAACCTATTTCATTGGAGACTGCCAGAAAATATCAGAAAAACTATTTAAACCTCATCAACCTCTAATAAATAGTTTGATGCTGCACATCCAGTATATTGACAGGGAGAGGGAGGCACTCGGAGGTAGTGAATTTTGGGTTTTCTGCTCATTCTGTGCCACTATGAGCAAAGTTTCAACTCTTTTACCCAATTTGGTTTTTCTACCCTGATTCTGCACCCAGAGGCAGCACAGTTCAGAGGGGTGAGTCCTTCGCTCAACCCCTCCACCAGTATTCCATAGGAAAGTGGAATCTTGCCAATAAACTCTGTGTTTGATCAGTTTGTCAGACTCTGAGCTCAGCCATGTGTGATGATTGAGCTCAGGGTTGATTCTGTGCGTGGTGGGGTTTGGGGTTTTTGTCTGTAGTGAGGTTATTTATTGGTCAAAGGAAACTATCCAAGAAATCCTTGTAAGACTACAGCACTGCTTAAGATATTGGCAACAAAACAGTCTGAAATTCATGTAAGGATGCTGCACACCATTCCAGCTATGTTTTCTGTTCATCTCAGCAGCACCTTCATTCTTTGTTGCTTTTCTGAATTACTTTGCGAGTTACTTGTACAATTTTCTCCATCAAAGCTCCTGTATCACAGCTTCAATTTAGAAGTGTTGTCATGGGCTGTAATTTGAAATTTTATTACCGAGAGATTTTTTGGTTATAGAACATTTACTTTTATCATCTCTATATTATTTTTAAATGCCTGAAAAGATTGATACATCAACAGAATCTGTGCACCACCAGGCGAGATCTATTTTTTTTTCCAACCTTAATTTTAAAAACCCTTTGCTTGGAACATAAATTGATTCTTCAGCCCCCCAACACTTAATGATTTGTTATTCTCAAGGTTAAACCTATGACAAATTTTACAAAAACACCAGTCTTCAGTTTTGATAAAATTTTCTCTAGTTGAGTTCAGGGATAGCTGTGCAGTTTTAAGTCTTTAAATAGCGTAATTGAGGCGTGATTGTGGCCTCCTGTTCTCACAGTGCTCCTTTAGCATTTAAGACTTGTGTGTTTTTGCTACCAGAGTTTATCCCACTGTGGTTAGCCACTGTTATGATGTGGGAGGGAAGGCAGTGATGATCCAACATTTGTTAACCTCTCTGGAAAGTCAGGCAAGGATTGCAGGCGAAGAAGTAGCCACCGCTAACTTTTGCATCAGTACAACTAAATAGCATTAAAAAACAAGTGGAGAGGGAGGAAAATTCTTAGAGTAAAGGAAAAGCAAGTCAATGTGGCTGAGGAATTCACTGTAAAAAGGAATAAAGGAAAACAGCACAGAAGTAAAATGTTAT